CTGTTTGTGGCGCAAAAGCAAAAATTCAGTAGTGACGCTACTGCCATCAAGTGGTTTCAACTTGAATGTCATCCATACTACTGTAATACCACTGTAAGACTGATTTATTAACCAATGAACAATATTTCAGAACTGTGCTCTGATTGGGTCGTGGACAGAAAAAAAGTGCACATAATGCAGCTACTCATAAAATCTAGGCCCTGAAGCAAATATAAATACTTAAATATTTGCAATGACCAAATTGCTTTCAGCCAATAAACAGAAACAGAGTAAATACTGCAGAAGAGAAACCCACCTTGGTTTCTGAGGGAGGATCTCTGAGGTTTGATGGTGTTTGTTGATGATGTCCAGTGGGTGGGTTTAGGAATGACTTTACGTGGTGCAGGGGTCTCCAGTGGGCTTTTATGGCCACCTGTTTGTTTGTCTCGGAGCACATCCTTTAAGACTGCAGGAGAAATGAATCAACATAAAAAATAATAATCAGCACCCTTCGTTTAGTTGTATTTACAGCACCCTCAGCTTTACCAAACTCTACATTTATCCAAACACACATTACCCCCCAGGAAGGTCATAATTAAAAATGTGTAAATGTATTTTTTATTACATAAAATATCAAAACAAGTCGCATCTATTTTAAAGAAAGCACTAGCACACTTTCCAATAAAAACATTTAACAAAATGAGGCTTGTTGGGTTTCAAAAATGAAACAATAAGTTTCTAAATGTCTTGCACGCTGTCACAGCGTCAGACTCAAATGTTCTGGAACATGTTCATAATATATAATGAACTACACCTGTGGTTATTCTGCTACTGACATCCATGAAAAATAACCTGAAAACCAATTGGTTAAAGCGAATTGCAAAAATGTCTCATAAAAGTGAAGATAGTTCTGAGAAAAGCTGCGATGATGTATCTATCATTTGTTTGCAGATGACATATTTAGAACCTGTGACTTAAGTGTCCGAAAATGTCCAAATATTTTTTATCATCTATCACTGTATTGATAGATGACCAGTAAGGGGAAAAAATAATTATCATTAGAAGGAATAACAGTATTAATCAGGTCTAATACATAATTTATTTAATTTTATATGGCATAGTGACTGAGACACAATCAGCGTATGGCAATTATAGATTGTAAAAAGAAAAATCTACAAATCTATGTATACTAAATCTCAGCAACAGCCTCACCAGATGCTGGGCTTCCAGCAGAGGTTTTATCAGTGGCAGAGAGTCTGACGCTGTGACTGTCTGAGATCTGAGCTGGCAGAGAGTCTGTCTGGGTGATTCCAGAGCCTGTGTGCAGGGTGGACTGTGAGTCTGTGTTCGCCCGAGCTGCTACGACATCCAGAGCCGATCCCAGAAGGCGATTCTAAAGATAGAGGAGATATGATAAATGCATAAGCTGATAAACACAATCAATTCATGAATTGCAGTGGAGAAGAGCCTTCTCAGACTTGCAGGAATAAAACTCTGAGGCAAAATAAAACAACCAAGCCAGAGATGCCAGCTAACCATCTGAATTGGTCTCTGTCTGAGCTACCATTCTTGTAAAGTTTTGTTATCAGTCACTGTCCAAAAAGCGTATAGGTCACTTTTTGTATATGTTATTCTCTGTGCTTTCCACAATTATTTATTAGGTGCCCAGAGGTCCCAGAGTCATATACATTACATATGAGCTGACACAAAGTAGACATTGTTCATTCATCTCATGATCTCAGTCATGTAGGCTATGAGGCTTTCAAAATGCATCTGGATCTCACGCTAGCAAAATAACTTCTACAAATGTCTTTTATAGGATGCATATTTCATCAGAATCTGTTCAAGTCTCTGAAACGAAGACACAATTCAACAGCATGTGACTCCTTAAAACAGATTTCTGCAATTGAAGTCTTTTTGAAATAAAAATGCTCAATGTGCTATGTAGACATAATCTGTTCAGTATTTGGTACTAAGCAACCCTGATGAACAGTATGAACTATATCAGCCTATCATAGCGGAGTATATTTACAGTAGCAAACATATTTAGTTCAAGGGTGGAAAACTTAATTCTGAATGTTTTGGTGTAATAATCCTTGACTAACGTACGTAGACTAAAAATAAAAAATAAATAAAACAAAAAGAAAAGAAAAAAAGAAACAACGAAAAATAACCAAAAATTAAAATGAAACAAAAATAAAACAAATAAAATTCAACAAACCAAGCAAAAGAATACAAAATGAAATAAACAAAAATAAAACAAAAGAATACAAAATGAAATAAAACAAAATAAAATAAAAGCAAAAGTAAAACCAAACAAAATTAAATAAAACAAAAATAAAAATAAACCGACTAAAACAAAAAAATACAATAAAAGCCAGATTCTGCATCTCCAGGTCTAGACAGAGGTCTTGTCATTTTTACCTGCAGCTGGATCTGCTGACATTGGATCGTCTCCAGGTGTTGCAGTCTCTGCTGCATCAGAATGTTAAGTTGTTCCTCCATGTGGGCTGCTCTCCCAACAGAACTGTTCTCAGTTCTCTCCGACTGGACACTGGACTCTGCCGCCTGCAGCCTCCTCAGCTCAGCAGTTACCAGTGCGATCTGAGCCTCCATCTCACTCTGAGCCTGATGGGCCAAACAAAGACAGTTTAAAGTCAATGCTATAATACTGTATTGCTTTAAGAATGTTACAATATTATAATGCTATATGAATCTAATAATGTCTACATTGATAAGTGGTGCTGTGGCGGCAATAGTAGCAGCTGTTATGGCTGCCACATTTGCAGAAGTCCCAGGATCTCCTGATGGAAAAGCAGGTTCTGGCTGGCCTCTTGGAGTTTGGGATCTGTCTTGGTCCAACACTTGTACTGTCACATTACGTCTTAAAGGGACACTTTGGGATCTGAGAAACAGTGAAATATTCATGTGTACAAAATAACCATGTTTGATCATAGGAGCGACTGAATGAAATCAGGCATTACCTTTTCTTGAGGGCCGCAGAAACTGCTCCTCTCCCATCAACAGAGTATGTCGAAATTTGCACGTCTTCACCTGCGGTGTTCAGAAATTTCACATTAGTGACATTCAAAAATATACCAATATAATTCAATAGAATACATATAATACCATTATAATTCAAAATAACAATGCATTTATATAAATTCATACATTTTGACCAAGTTTTCTGTCTGCATGATTTCAGTTAAGCTATACTTTATATATAATACCAATATAGCTCAAAACAAGTTTTCTGTCTGCATGATTGTAGTTTTTGATCTTTTGATCTTGTAGTTTGATCTTTTGAATATAATAGCAATACAACTGAATTCAATTCAATTCGATTCAATAGAATAGAATAGAATAGAAATCATACCTTTCGACTTTAAGTTTGCTATCTCCATGATTGTAGCTTGAACTTTACTTTTCTCTTTCCTGGAGGCCTATGTGAAAAAAAAAAAAATATTAATCAACTTCAGCAAGTTTAAACTGTTTATAAACAAACCAAATATAACTAGGAAGGGGGGAAAAAACTCACTTTGTCAAAAATGTCAGCAAATTGATTTGATGATCCACTGGGATGTTGTTCATGGGGTTCAACTGAATTCAGATAAAAAAAATGTATTCTTTTGATCCTTAAATGTATGTCACAATCTAACTATAACACGAGTTTCACAATTTGAGTTGAATTACTGAAATAAATTAATTTTTCCACGACATTCTAATTTATTGAGATGCACCTGTAATAGTGTTACCTGTATCTGAAGCTGAAGGAATATTCACACGGTGGACAGGTGGCATTTCTCTCTCATTCACAGAATGAACATCTTCAGAGTCTGACAGTCTCCTGATGTAAATATTAACTTTATTATGACTCTCATGCTGTATTTCCTCTCTGCTGGCACCCAAAGCAGCTCTGGTTGAATGAATTAACACATCTGCTGCATCAGAACTGGATGTAGAGTCGTTTAAGTGCGTGTTATTGACCACAGACACACAACAAGGGTCCATTTCCACTTTTATATCAGTAATAAGACAGTCCAATAAGAGATATCGGTCGTTTTCACTGATGTCAGTCTTTAAACAGTTGATAATAACAATGTACAGGCCCAGTGGTTAGTTGTCAAAGGCAATTTAATCTTTGATAATTTCCAGGCGTTTCTAACCGTCTTACCGTGAACATGACGTCGACATAACGATTATTGCCTTTATTCCTGAGATATCCACAGATGACACGCGCCAAACACTCTGGTGTTGTTGTCAGTATTGCTTTTAAATTTCCCGCCGCAGGTGATTTTTAAAAGCAACAGGTTGGTTCAGCCTCTCATTTCTGCTATCAGAGTAAATCCCGACTTCATTTCGTAGTATTTTAATGTGATATTCAAAGGATGTTTTATTTCAGCTGTAAATCCAGTTATTTTCTCAGCGTCGGTTGTTGCTGACAACAAAACGTCACAACTGTGATCCCGGAAACAACGGCATGATCGCAAGACAGATTTCAAAATAAAAGTTTGTCTTCCCTGCGTTTTTGGTCTCGGAAATCATGACACTGCTGCCCCCATTTGGTCCTTCTTAGAATTTATTTGATCTGGCAAACATGAGAAATAAATGTTTATTTAAAAAAAAATTGTCTTTATCCCTATTTTTTTTTTAAATAATAAATGAATAAAAAGTAATAAATCTAAGACATTTCAGAAGATTTTAATTTTGCATTTTTATCCTGTAACACAAGTAATCATAAAACGACTGAGAATGTTTAAAAAAAAAATTGTTTTACAATATTTAATATTTTAATGTTAAAGATGCTAATATAAAGCATTTAAATAAAAGAAGGGATGCTTGTCTTTGTGTATTATGTCTGCACATTTTCAACAAGATGTGTATTGCAGACTACAATTAAGCAAAAATTATGTATAAATTATGTAAAAATGTAATAATATATTACATAAAAATACAAATGTAATACGCGACTTTATTTTTTATTTCATAAGGGCTCTTATTTGTTACGACAGTGTCGAATCTGCCGATGTGAAGCAGTTCTCTTCTCACATGTCCTTCACATCCTGAGCTCTGACAGCAAAGGTAAAAATTAAAAAAAAAAAATGTACGTGCTTTGCGTCTTGTTATATTTATTGTCTGTATCTTATTTATTATAAAGCGTTTATTAATGTATTTATTTTGGAAGGCATGTTTCGCATATTTAGTGTTATAAATGTACATGTGATATAATGCTAATGGCTAATGTAGCCACTCATCATCACACTGATATCATTTTAAGGCCTCTATTAGAAAAGAACACGTATTTATTTAGCAGCCTCTGCGCTGTCAATGAAAACGGCGAGATTTTCTGGTCTAAATGCTCTCTTGGTGTGACTAATGTTGTTTCATTTGATTCACAGCATCCCACTGTACTGTAACTATGGCAGCTCAGGTCACTGAATCAGACCAGATCAAACAGGTAAGAAGAACCTAAGACATAACCATACACATTTATAGCCTATTTATAGTTTTTAAATTATTAAATAGCTATTTAACTGTCCATCTTTGTATTTTGCAGTTTAAAGAATTTCTGGGAACCTACAATAAACTGACAGAAAACTGCTTCATGGATTGTGTGAAAGATTTCACTACGAGAGAGGTCAAGCCAGAAGAGGTGTGTGATTATGTTGTGTTTATGCTTATATTTCTGATTTAAACTTGATTTAAGTCGTAACTTTTCTTTCCAGACTACATGTTCTGAGAGCTGCTTACAGAAGTATCTGAAGATGACGCAGAGGATCTCCATGCGCTTTCAGGAATATCACATCCAGCAGAATGAAGCGTTGGCTGCTAAAGCCGGTTTATTAGGACATCCACGGTAATCATCTGCTGCTGGACTGAACTCCAGACCGTTACGCCAGGCTCTCTCTATTCCAGCATGGAGCAGCGCGGCAGGGCAGGGGACGCAGGCACTGGGAATAGTGTGAGAGGTCCTCTTAACGTCTGCCGGCTCTTCGGATAACTGGATCATTGGGAATTTTGGTTTCCCAAAGGACAGACACTCTCATTTTGACCGTTATGCTGGTCTTCCGTAAAACACGAAAGCTCTTGATTGTTTTTATGTTAATGTGCTACAAAATAAAATATTAGTCAACTCTAATATTCAGTCTCGTTCATGTATAATTTAGCTAATGAGATTAAAAGGAATAGTTCACCCAAAAATGAAAATTTGCTGATCATTTTCTCACCCTCACATCATCCAAGATGTAGATGAGTTTGCTTCTTCATCAGAACAGATTTGGAGAAATGTAGCATTTCATCACTTGCTCACCAATGGATGCTCTGCAGTGAATGGGTGCCGTCAGAATGAAGTCCAAACAGCTGATAAAAACATCACAATAATCCACAAGTAATCCACACCACTCCAATCTTGTGAAGTGAAAAGCTGCGTTTTTAATAAATCCAACAAATCGTTTTAACTTTGAAATTTCACTTCTGGCCAAAATATCAGTCCTTAATCCATAATCCATAACGATTAACTGCGAGCCGGTTGAAAATCGATTCAAATATGTGACGATTCAAATCGGTTGAGATGCTAAACAAATCGCGATTCATTTAGGGGTAAGAGTTTATATGAATGCATGTCTGAGGGGAACTTACTGTCTTTAGAAAAGTTTAGATGGTATTTTTTCTTTT